GGTCTTCTTTCCAACAAGTTGCCTTTGTTTGTTTGTTTGTTTAAGTCAATCCAGCACTGTCATATCTTGTCCCAGATTTATTTTTCATATCCCTAAACAGCCCCGGGTTTGGCACAAACAGCAACAAAAGGAGAGCTGGAACATGCATTTTGTAGATGAGACAAAAAAACGCAGTGACTTAATCTGTGAGGTGTCAGTGAGAGCTTCATAATCCTTTTTTTTTTACTGTAGTGCTGCTTCTTGTGCTAGACAGGAGGTACAGAAGAGGAAATAAATCCTGCCCTTCACTGTGAAAATAGTAAGTGAACACTACATGAGGAGTGTTAATAATACAGCAGAGCAGGTGGATATTCTTCCAGGAATGGTTTTGTTTTAACTGAAGTTTTTAGTGTATTGCTTTGACTCTCATGTCACTCGTCCACAGTAAATGCACAAAACTGGTACCTAGCAAGGCCCATGTAAGGATATGTTTTATTCCTAGCCAGAGACATACTTAAAAAGCAACGTTTTTAGTGTCTTGGTAGGGTCATGAAAGACTAGGTGACCACAGGAGTACTTTCCTACTCCACCTTGCCAGTTTGTGCCATTAGCAATCAATGTAAGCATTATTTAAGCAATCATCAAATAGTAATGAAACAGTGATCATACTGTACCAACAATGCATTTAAAGCTCTACCTTGTTGGTTATTTACTTGGTGCTAGCATTTATTTCCACTGATGCCTTGTGTCCAGACACTGCTAAATAGAAGAGCATAGGAGATACCTCTTAACTGATCTTGTTCTACACAGAGTAATAATTAATCTGCACCTTAATTAAACAGGCTCTTGAAAAATTTCTTGTAGGATTTCATTTAAATATTCTGCAAGTGATCCCTTGACTCCTGACCATGACTAGAGATTTATTTTTTCTTTTCCTACGTGTTGTAAAGTAAGAGACCTTTTGCTTCTTTGTGTTGATCATCTTAGTACATGCCACGTTTAAAACCTGCTGCTTGATGATATTTTATGCTTTAATATATGGTAAATTTGCTGATAAAGTCTGCCACGGACAGCAGGAGTACAGCCATGTCCAGTGGGAACATCCTGAATGCAGGAATCTCTCACTCCATCCACTGGAGCTGATTATTGCTGGACCTGCCTGACCTTTAATTTCTTTGTCTCTCTGCCCCACAAGGTTTGTGAACAGCTGATGTTCACAGCACTGGCAGAGGACAAAGGATGAAGTTCTCTGTTTTTTTTTTTCCTGTTTCTTTGGCATTTCCCCTCTCTTTTAGCCCCTCTTGTTGCTGTAGCCCCTGAGGGATTCCTTAGCCTTGCCATTTAAGACTGAAGAACCCCAAAGATCGGGATCTTTACTGTGTGGAGCTTGTCCTAAACTTCCTCTTTACTTTCTCTCTCTGAAAATAGAGCAGAAATCTTGGGACAGACATAGGCTTAGCCATGAATACTGAGAAAAAAAACCACCCTACAACTGATAACTTCCATATTTAAACGGCTTTGGAAGACAAACTAGCGATGTGCTGCTGTTCCCTGAGGAAAAGTAGCTGAAGATAAACATGCCCAGGATAAATAACCATGAGAGAGAACTAGCTCTGGAAAGAAACCTAAAAAATAATTACATTCCTACGTAGAAAATGCATTCCATAACAATGTTTGTTTGGACTGGTTTTATATTTCTAAAATTATAGCTTGTTACTGTATTCTTAGATTTCAGACTTTTTTAAAAAATACAGTGCTTAGATTTATACAGGATTTGTTTAGATACTTATAACAGTAACACTTGCTTTATTAGCCATTTAGTTTTCTTTACAGACAAGAAGATAATCATTATTTTTTACATGACAACACTTTTAACCTTTCTTAATAGAATACACAGGCTTGTAGTTTTGTCTTGGAGCAATAATTTAGTGACCTGCACTCTTCAGTCCCCATCTGAGAATCTTGATTTTTTAGCCTCATTTTTTTCATGAAGATATCTCAGCTGCTGAGGTATGATCTCTACAAACTGTATTCATTTACTAGAATATAGATTTTAAGTATATATATATATATATATAAATATATTTGTAGGTGTGTTCAGGCTGTAGGTCTGGACTGTACCTTTTGCCAATAGATGCATGGAAAGCAGCTGCACATCTCAGTCCTAGGCTTAGAGATTCTGGGTTCATTTTGGAGGTAACCAGGCTCACAACAGTATTGGTCATTTCTGTAAGGGATTAATAAGGGAAAAGCATGGAATTTTCATAGGCAGACGTCTCCTTGCAAGAGGAAAGAAGGAATTTTAATAATTCTATTAACAGTCATTTAGAGACAATGGCACTGTTTGTCTGTTGTTTCGGTCAGTTTTGCACTGAAGTTGGTGCAAGTTTTGCCTGAATAGCTTCTCTGCATCTAGAAATCTCTGAATTGGCTGCTTGGAGATATTTAGGGGAGAATAGCTCCTTGTATGACATTTACTTCCAAGTTTGTGCCTGTAAGGGGGCACAAAGCATGACAACCTTTCTGAAATCATTTGTTAAAAGAGCAGTTTTCAAGTACAGATGAGTCCCACATGAAGGATTTCAGGGCTGTGATCCCGGAGAGGCTCAGTAAGCCTTGCAGAATTAAGTTCAGATAAGGACTAATATCTGATTTTTTTTTTGTTTTGGTTAAATTATTTTTAAAGTATGTCATGTATATACAATTTTTCCTCTGTTATTTGTATATACCTCAACTCTCAATTTTATAATCCCCTGGGAAAGGAGGGGGTTGTACATATTTAGCCTGAAGTGTTTTATGTTAGACTTTAATAAACTTGTTTTGTAATTTTCCCTCACCTTGTGTCTCCTGTTTGTGACTGCACCAAAAGCAGGAGGGAGAGAGTCAGACAACACCCCCCTCACAGGGGGATTGAGGGGACCTGTGCTGCTCCACTGCCCTTCTGGATCAGTCATTTTCCTTCCCTTGGGAACTGGGGCAAAGATTCTGCCTTTCAGTGAAGAAAGCTGGACAGATGGTTTTCAAAGCAGGATGATGCTTGCTTCAGCTACTGGAATAACTTAGAACATGGCAAAAGATTTCTAGCCTGTGCAAATTCTCTCGTTCCAAAGAACACAAGATAAATTCTTCAAAGATGCCAAGGTTTGGTTTTTCAGAGAAAGAAAAGCAGTAACAGTCTCTGGCACAGACCTCTTTAAGCATTACAGGGTTATGCACAAATAATTATGTTAGTTTTCAGGAAGCTCTTTGTACAGAATTCAGTAGGAATTACCCTGCAGCCTTTTCTTACTAGAGAACATAAAAATAAACTGTAACACATGAGCTGGTGTTATGGGTATTGTCAGTAATGCAGAGTGCTCTTCCAGGCTGAGCATGTTGCTGTTAAACAAGGGGTCAGATAGAGTGCAAATATTTCAAACAGATCCACCAGCACTTCTGAAAGTAGATGCCATTTATCCTGATACATTTTGTGTATGATGTTGTTGCCATCTTAACCACGTCACTAGAAGTAAAATACTGCTCTTGGTAGAGTTGGTTCCCCATTGCTACAGCAGATTAATGAATGTCATTCATACAAGTAAATTAAAGGTTAATTTGGGCAGTGAAATCAGTCTGAACTTCATCCACCAGACAAAGGAAAGGAAGATAATACAGGAAAAAAAATACCTTAATCTGAGCCTTTTAGTGGTGTTTCTGGCAAGAAATTCTGTCACCAGTGTCTCAGTACTGAGAGGCCTCTCTGTAGACTCTCAGAGTGTAATCTGCTCTGCCCCAGAGCAGCAACACTGAGGAAAATACCAATACAGGCTTATCTAACTGTTTAAAACCTTAGGAATGTTCACAGCATGCAGATTCTTCTCAACCAACCACATCCAGTGTATCCTCAACTTTTGTTCTCGTCGCTCTGTCCTTCCTGTTTACCAGCAGTTAAAATGTAAGCTCCTCTCTCAGCCAGGGTGTTGGCAGTGTGTGACACACGGACTTTGTGCTCAGCACGGTGCCTGCAGGTCAGGAGGGTCCTGTGCAGGTGTGGGGGACAAACAGACCCGCTCTGGGCTTTCCTCTGAGGCCCCTTGGGCTGCTTTTTGGAGCAACAGAGCCTGACTCGTTTGTGTTTGGGGGGGCAATAAGGAAAAAAAGCAACTAAACAGCAAAAAACCTCCACACACAAACACAACAGCTCTGACACCTGCCTTGGTCATTTCAGCTGGGGAAGGGGTGTCTGTACAGCTCCCACGGTGATAATTCAGAGTCAGAACAGCAGCAGTGGCATCGCTGCTTCTCAGCTGTTGTTGGTAAAATTACTTCCTTACCTTTTTCCCCTCATACTTGGAGTTCATAGATGCAGTCATGGATTATCCTGCTGTCCTGTTTGCTGACTTTTTCTTATTAGGAGCATAAATGGAGTCACTTCTGCAGGGATGAGCAGAGTGGATGGAAAAAGGTAACAAGCTGAGTGATTCCCAAACTCCCACAAAGTCTGCATCCAAACCCTTAAACAATGTTTAACTACCATTAAATGCAACTCACATGCAGGAGCTGCCACAGGGATAGAATGACAGAAATGTTTTTTAGACAGTTTTTAAGAGATGGGAAGAAATAAAAGCACTAGGGCTGGTTATGGTTCCTATTTATAGTTCAAGAAACAAGTGCATGCTTCAAGTTAACCAAAATTCCACGTATATCCCAGTAAACTGGGTTTACAAGCTTTGAAGTTCCACCATGACCATGGCTTAGTGCTAAAGTTCACTTACCTTGGTTTAAAAATGTCACAATGGGAAGAAGATCCAGTGGATGAATTACTAAGCAAAAGCAGAGAGTATATGGAGTACAGAGGTAACAAATGGACTTACCTAAAGCTCTCAGCTCCACCAGGAATCCTGCTCTGCAGCAGGTCTGATTTGCTGCCCAGCAATCCTGGGTGTCAGCTTTTGTCAGTGTGCTCTGCCTGGCTGTGAACTTTTTCATGGTAATGAACTCTGCACAGACTGGGCATTGTTATTATTAATATTGTTATTATTTAGCACTGAATTTGAAGGTCATTTGTTCAGTATTTTATCTTTATGCCATTTCAAGCAGTTTTAGATTCCTTTTAGACTTTAACCTGAAGAAACAACATAAAGCAAATCTGAGGCTGATATAATTTATTTTACTGGAAACCAGACAGGCAAAGCTCAGGCCTGTGGAGTGCACTGAGCTGATCCCTCACTCACAGATATTCTGAGACAGCTACCAGTGCCAGGCTGGCGTTGGCAGCACTGTGTGCCACCACCCTGTGCCGTGGGGCCCAGTAATATTCCCTGTGGAGGCCGTGGGACAGCTCTGCCAGCTGAGCTCGCCCGTCCACCTGGAACGGGGCCACGTCCGTGCAGTTGGGCTTCAGGCGACCCGACTGAACTAACTCGGAAAATGACTGGAAAATAAAACCAGGAATATGACAGGTAACATTTCCCTTTGACTGCAGTGAAGGCTCTACAAGGTAACACACAGTGAGTGCTCAGTCACTTCAGTATGCTGATCTCCACTCAGTCTCAATCCAGCACCACCAGGTTATAAATATTTTTAAGAACCCCAGTAAATCAGGTGTTTTGTTCACTAATTGCTGTAGTCCACCCAAAGATGGTAAAAAGAAATTGGAACAAACAAACAAAACCCAAGCCCCTCCCTCTCAGAGGAGTTCCAAATCAAACACTTACCATACAGGCATCTTCATCAAATGTGTTCCCCCAGATGTATATATGGGAAAGGATCATGTTTGATTTGATTGCATTTGAAAGAGCTGTAAGTCCTTTGCCAGTTATACTGCAGCTTACCACTGACAACCTGACAAACAGAGAAAACAGTTACACAGCGTGCGTGCCAGACCATGGAACTCACATCTCTTACTTAAAAATAAGAGTTTAGCTATGATTTATGCTTATTCCATGTGTTATTGTTATATAATATATATTGAACTTTTATATTAATTTGTCATTAACAGTACAATTCTGTAATTGTATCAAGGCCAGTCCTACTCTAACAGCCCTTTCAGGTTGCCAAAGGCAGTTGGACTGTGACTTGCTTTGTTTCTCCAGGCTCACACAGCCAAAGTTGTTCACTGTGGAGTTCCTCGGTGTCAGTGGCTCCATGGTGGCCAGGTCTCATCTCTAGCCTGCTTTGAAGCCCGAGCCTTGGCATTTATCCAGGCTAAGCTTTGATCTTTGTGGAGTGGCAGTTATTTTTATATTAGTGAACCTGGAAGGCTTTCAGAGGCACCTCAGAGCCGCCACCTCCTCAGTCTGCTACTTAAACCTGATGGCTCCAGGTAACACCTTTGATCAGCTTTTACATCCTGCCGGCCGGGGTTTAACGGGCTGCAAAAGACACCCTGATGGAGAGATTACAGCTCTGCCGGGTTCACCCGGAAGCAAACTTAAATAGAGGATTTTCCTAAGTGTTGAAGATCAGAACCAACAAATATAGTGCCTTATCCCTGCGTGGAATCTGATTATCTCAGAATTCTGAAGGCCTGCAGGTCTTGTTTGCCTTTGTGCCCCACAGGGACCTGCTCTTTAGAGATGCAGGAAGAACTGACAGATCTAATTGCCTTCCCCCCCACACACACACCTCTTAGAGCTGCTGGAAAAGCTGTGGGAAATCTGAGCAAACCTGGGGCTCCCCCCCAGCACCCCAGGGTGTCCCACAGGTCCTGGGGCATCTCACCTTGTGCTTAGCAAACAAATCCCACCCAATCTCTCACCCGCAGCTTTCTTTCCCCAAGAAGGAAAAACAGACCAAAACATTTGGAACTTCCTGACTATTTTGATCAGCATCCAAACACAGAGCTTTGATGCCATTTCTGCCACTGCCAGCTCCAGGTTTCCTACCCCTGCAGCGTGTGGGGAAGCTGTGCAGATACTAACGCCTGCAGGGTCCTGTTGTGCAAAGACAAGGCCTCACTCAGGTGCGTGGCTCCAGGATCTTCTATTCTGTTTGCCTTCAGGTCCAGGATTACCAGGCTTTGGTTGTGTTTTAGCAGCTCTCCCAAAAATCTCGCACCGTCGGCGGTTATTTTATTACTGCAAGAGAGACGCGCGCGTTTAAAATAAAATTAATGCTAAGAAAATTAATTGCTGTTGGTCATGACTCTCACCAGCTCAGGTCAAGGTATCTCAGGCTGGAGTTTTCCTGCAGGGCCTCACACAGTCGCTCTACACCAAAGTTTTTCATTTCGTGCTTGCTCAAGTGCAGCTCCACGAGAGGAGGGTTGTTCTTCAGCATCTGAGCTATGTGGACTGTGGTCTCTTCCTGCAAACACACACTCAGTTTTATTCACCTGAACTCTGGGATAAAATATGGTCTTGCTTCAGTACAAGTGAGATACACAGCTAACATCAAGATTTGGTCAGCAGTAGTGTTCTATTTTGTATATTGTATCAAAATAGCCATGAAACAACATGTTGGGATAAAGCTGGAAATGAACAAAAAAAAAAAAAAGAAAAATACTAGAAAGATATTTGCAGATTTACAGTACTATCGACATCCGTGCAAACATCAGAAGCATCAACGTTTAGCCATTATGTCTGACCAGTTTTCCTTCCAGTCATTGCTCTTTAAAAAATGAATGTTTGAGTCAGTCTTTGCTAACATTGGAAGTATTTTGTCCTGATGCTCGTCTATGCTTTCATAAAAGAAAGGATTGGTCAAAGTTTGGACTCAATGATCTTGGTGGTTTTCACCAACCTTAATGATTCTGTGATTCTATGAAAAAGAAACAGGACTGCTTTGGGAAAAACTACGTCCTGTCACAGTGAGACAAAGGAAGTTTGTTCTTGAGTTGTCATGTTTAGTTAAGAAAATAACAGTGAGTACTGTGAGTCAAAAGTAAGGGAACAACCCAGAGGCCTCAGAAAATGATAGAGTTGAAGGTGGAAACAGTGGCAATAGTAGCTGACAGATCCAGACCAGGTCCTTACTGGCCCCTGTTTTCAATAGCAGTAATTTAAATTGACTTCTAAAGCTGGAGTCAGGCAGATCAAGCCCTGCCTTAGCAGAAAAGAAACAACTAAAATCTGTTTACACTGTTCAATTCACCTTAAGGAACTGAGGACGATCTGGCCTTGGTGACCTCAGGAAAACACCGTTGCTATCACTGACACCTGAGAGCTGCCAGGCAGCTGAGAACACCACAGCACTCCCTCTACAGCCACGAGCTGAGCAGAGTGAAACAGCCAAACCAGCCAGCCCAGGGAAGGGGTGGGGGGTTGCTGCAGTGTCTTTCTTCTTCAGGCTCAGGCAAACAGCAGCCCTTTGTGCTTCCCCTCATTTCCTGCTAAACAGCATTTCCCCCTCAGTTTGCTGAGCAGTGCAGGAAACTCCACGGCGGGACAGCAGAAGGAGGACTTGGTTCTCCAATACCAACCCCTCTCCATCAGCCCATTATTTAACAAATGTACCAAGAGAGAGAATTTTTTAAAAAATTTAAATTCTAGTTAAACAGGGGCAGGTGGTGACTGCACAGAATGAGAAAGAATGTTTCTGCAACCATCTGCTTCAGTTTGCAAGGAATTCCAGAGGGCTGTGTAGTTCAGGTGCCCATAAATACATCAGCACTGACTTGGCTCGTGCTCCTCTCTGAGCTGAGCCCACAGTCACTCACGTACCTCTTGGCTGTACAGCAAGGGACGATTTAGGTTGATTGCTCTGAGGGATTTGTTCTGGATCAGAGCTCTGGCTATTGCTATCAGACAGTCCAGGCCCTGGAAGCGAAAACAAACAAACTCTTAAGAGAAACCTATTTAATGTGCAGACCAAGCTGCCAAATTACCATGACTATTATTTCTGCCTCCCTGTCCTCTGGAGTACAACAATCAACTGCTCAGAGACAGAGCACAGGTTTTCTGACAACACCAATGTCAACTGCCTGTGGAAGAGTAGAGTGGAATTAGACTAAACAGTACAAATGGCTTGGCACCTCAGAAAATAAAAAGCAAGAATAATGAATCTCAGAGATACTGGTCCATTTAATCAATCCTGTATTTTAGTTTTCTTGATTTATGAAACAAAATCAGCTTATGTGTGTTCCCCCAACATTCATCCACTGGGTAAATTCAAATTTAGTACCAACCATGTGGTACAGAGAAATGAGAGTCTAGGATATGGGTCAATCTGGATTTTTTTTTTATTTCCTTCTGGTTTGCTCACTAATTTTTATTTATGCTGCTTTCCATTAGGTTGGTCCACACCCAAACCAACTCTCAATCAACTCCCTACCAAGAAGACTCATACTAAGCTTTTGAATAAATCCTACACTGCCTACACTTTTCTTGTTCATGTATTCATAACACCTTCACTATTCCCCCCTCTTAGTCTAGGAGCAAACTCTGAATTTCGAGGGAAAAAAAAATACAGGTTTTTAAAAGTGATCCACAGGCCATTCCAACCCTCCTGAGCCTCCCTGTGCACTGTGTGCTGACTCCAGCAGGATGCAGGTCATCCAGGATCCAATTGGGTGCTTTTCTACTCAATTTAGCACTGCTGTGCTTTTGTCCTTTATAGATTGAGCTCTGAGAGGAGCAACAGAGCTTTGGGATGGGTGACTTTCAGGGGTTCCAGCACTGCACACTTCAGAAGGAAAAGCTTCTCCAGGGAATAAAAAGTCCATCCTTCAACACGAGTTACACAGGACTTGGCATAACAGAAGTGAGCAGCAGAAACAAACCTCAGAGGATGTGACAGACCAGCACTTACATCCCCAGGGACACAATGGCTCTGAAATATCATCAGTCCTGACTCCCCCAGGTGCTTTGTGCAAGATGCCTTTCCAAGCACACGCTTTATTATATATTGTGTTACCTCTGGCTGTCACAAAGTGTAAAATCAATGACAACAGATGGCATTCCCCTCCTGATTAAGCTCTGCAAGACCCTTGTAATACCCTTGAAAGACTTCTGTGATTGCTGATCATTTTACTGGGTTACTCACCAGATCACAGTCTCCAAGATCCAACTTCTCCAAGGTTGAGTTTCTTTGCAGCATCGAAGCAAAGAACATCCCACCTTGGTCTCCTATTTTGTTTCCAGTCATTCTCATGTGCACAAGACTTGTGTTCCTCTAGATAAAATTAAAAAAAAAAAAAAATTCCTTTAAAAAAATGGCCTGAAAAACAACACTGTCCTTTTTTGTGTGTGAATCCTGCTGGTTGTCACACAGAGACAAAGCAACCTTTGAGAACAATTGTGTCTAAGTGACAACATAGATAACTGAGTGATAACCTATCCTGTTGGCTCAGGCTCCTCTCGGTGGCATCAAAGACACCACAGTCTGCAAGCAAAACTCCAGTATTTGAAAACTTTTTGTTTCTCCCAAGCCCACAAATTTCACATGAAAATAATCCAGGCAAACATTTCCGCCTAAATTGGCAGGAATTTGAGATGCAAAGTGTATTATCAAACTGATTTAAAGCTGGTAAGCATTGTACAAGCCCAGGGTTGTACAATCTGCTGCACAGCCTCAGTGTCTTGGAGGCCTGTCAAATTGAGTTGTAATCAGTTCAAAGACTGTGAAGGAGGAAGAGCTCACATGAGTCTCCTTCACAAACACAACAAATCTTACAAACAAGCCTCATTTCCTTGGGAAGCCACATCAAAAATAACAAACTTGGGTTTGTGCTGCTGCTGCAAAGCAAAGTTTTGAAAACACGTCTCAGACATCTTGAATCAAGGCAAATATTGACATGAAGGCACAGGCAAATTTAATACAATATTTTGGGGGGAAAAAAAGAAAGGAAAAAACAGATGGCGTTCTATATCCCGCAGCTTAGCATTTTTTCACACAGAAAAAAAATCCAGCTGTGAGAGTTGTGGGTTTTATAGACAATTGTTTTATAGATAATCAAGTGTTAATGGCAGCACAGTGCAACTTTCCCTTGTGGGAAATCTGATTTCTGAGGTCCCCCTTGGGAAAACAGGCAATCCCTGTGATCCAGCAACATGCTGAATGGAGCAAGGACAGAGGCCCCTTTGAGCCAGCTCTGGTGTTGGCAGGACAGCCAGTACTGGTCATCAAAAGCAAAAATATCCCAACGAGATGCCACTGTCCAAACCTCCCAGACAAACACTCACATGAAGTGCCCTCGCTATCAGCTCTGCCCCACTCATGCCAAGGTCATTAAACGTGAGGTTCAGGTACCGCAGGGAGGAGTTTTCCTTGGGAACAAACAGAGCAGGAAACAATGAGAGTTCACTCCAGAGCACACCTGTACTTTTCAGAAAGGGGATGCAGCAAAGGACAGAGCTTTGTGTGTGCATTTCAGGCAGCCCCTGACTTGGAAAAGCAGTTAAAGAATGTCAAAGTATGGCAGATAATGAGGGAAAGGCACAAAACCCTGTCATGGGGGGGTCCTCATGGGGCCTACAGGAACCACCCAGGATCTCATGTGCTCAGCATGACCAAATGAGGCAGGTGGTCAAGCTGAGGTGCATTTTGTGAACTTAATGGCACCCCCCAAGCTCTAGGAACACAGGAACCAGGTGACAACTCACCGTTTTCCATCTGTATTCCAGTGCTTTACAATGATAAAAAGGCAGACACAACCCAAGATTCCAGTAGGATGGACTGGGGTGTGAAAGTCAAAACTAATGGAATTTTGCCAAACCGGTGCATTCTTGTCTCCAGCACACCACATGTAAATATTTCTATGGCCAAGTAAATTACAAGTTGCTGAAAGATAACCATCACTTTGGCACCTGGAGGAATGTTGCCATGGTCTCTGCTCCAGCATCAGTCAATACATTATAAGCAAGATCCAAACCTGAAAAAGATGAAGAATGGGGAATGTGACAGATGCATGCCTACATTTCACTGATGTCTAAACAAAAAGAAACAAGAACTAACACTGAAATCAAGACTGATCATGTTTTCTTGTATTAGCACAGCAGTGTCAAACACACATGGAAAAGCCTTACCTTTGACAAATGCAGCATGGGATAAGACAGAGGCAAGAGCTCCCAGATCATCGTCTCTAACTCTCTGCACGGGCACTGGGTGATTATTTCCAGCTATTTTTAATGTGATCCCTTTTGTACATCTGTTGCAACATAAAAATGTGAGCATATGGGGAGAGGTAAAATGATAAGGGAAATGAGTTGCCTCTCCAGATGGGAGGTGTGCTCGTGCTTGCCCTCACTGAGGAGCTTGCCCATGGTTATACACCTTTGGTAACACCAGCACAGACAATGGGATTCAAGCTGTCCCTCAGCACTGCCCTTTCTGAAGGCACCACACAGCTGCAAGAACAACACTTGCACAGAAAGCAGATGGAAATAAAGATTGTCCCAGAGGTTACCTCACCATCTTCTTACTTGCTCCCTTTCCTGTATTTACTCCATCCTGCCCTCAGGATCAAAACCTAACACAAATTGTTTCATTTTCTCGGAGTTTTTTGCCTAAAGGAAAATTAGCTTTGACCCTGGCAGCATCCACAAGAGAAATCCCCACCTAGTCCCATAACGAGAGAGAATTTGGGTAGCTTGGCAGGATTCAGAGACAGCTCAGGGAAGCATAACCAGCTGGAGGGTGACTGGATGCAGCTGAGACTTTTTAAACAGGAGCAAGACAAAAGGAGGGGAGTTAGGATGACTAGACGCTGGGTTTGGCATTTTTAAGGGACACAAAGTCACCATCCTGTACATTTTTTACTTTTTTTTTTTTGGTTTTCACTGCTTGTAAAGCTGCCCAGAAAGGATACATAGCTACAAACTTCTGCCAAGATGATGTCAAGATGAGTCAAACCAGAACTTCAGCAGTAAATGCTAAATTTGATTTGTTTTTAAGCCTGAAACAGCACAAACTTTCTCATGTTCAATTCTTCATCCTGCTACCCCGCTTAAGGCTTTCAAAAGCATCTGAAACACACTGTTAATGCCTTACATTTCCTCATTTTCGTCAGCTTCCTGAAGCACACGAGCGATTAAGGGGTTTTCAGGCTGGCCCAATTTCTGACAGGCCTGCACATAGTGCAGGTGAAGATCCGGACGAACCGCCGTGTCCTGCTGGGAAACAAAACAAAACAAAGCGTTCGTGCATGGCTGTGGCAGCTCAGCAACAGCCCCGGGAACGGGCTCGGGGCTGGGATCTGTCTAACAGCAAAAACGGGCTGGGTCTGGAGAGGGTGACAGCTCTCGGTGTGCAGCACCTGGGTGACAGATCCCGGCAGGAAAAGCGTGGATTGGTGGGTGTTTCTGACCTGCTGTGCCACAGGGGCTGAGCTATCAGAGCAGCGATCCCCGATCTGCGGCTCAGCCCCCCCCTCCCGCCCCGCAGGCCTTACCTGAGCCATGAGCTCCTGCTCCTCCTGCCCGGCTCAGCCTGCGGGACCGGCCGAGGGTGGATAAATTCGGTAACGGGGCTGGATAAACTCGGTAACCGGGCTGCTCCGAGGGGAGCAGTGTTTGGTGACGGAGCCCGTTTCCAAGGAGGTCCCGGCCCGCAGCCGGAGGGGCAGGGAGGGGTTCCCCGGTGGAGCCCCCGGGGCGGTGCTGGGAAGGGCAGGGGGGTTCGTCACCTCACCCCATGGGCTCGGTGCTCTGCCCTCCTCCCAGGAGCCTGTGCAGAACCGCCCTTGGCTACACGGATCGGTTGTTACTTCAGAGATGCCTGTGCCGGCCCCTTCCAGCAAATCATTCCCCCCGGAGCCTCCACCACTGCCCAGGTGAGCTGGAGGGCGTGGGCTGCACCCACCCGAGGCGGACCCGTGTGGGGGGAACGGTGCCCACCTCGCCCAAAATTTCCCCCCAGGTTTGAGGAACCTCCCTGAAATGAGAACGCTCTCTGTCTGACCAGCCTGGAGGATCTCCCACAACACAACTGCTGCTGGCCTTGCTGCAGCTTTTTGCATCTTCTTTTTTTTTTTTTTTTTTATAATGTGTACACTAGAAAATCAAGAGCTGCATTTGCATAGAATCGATGTCACAAACTGAGCAGAGGGCAATTTAAAAATGGATGTGATATTATTAATGCCCTGAACTCCACTGACACTTGCTGTTCGTTTGATCATGAGCAATGAGGCACCCTAAAGCTGTGCCATGGTAAGTGTAACAGTATTCATGGACATCCCCGTTTTAGGGCTCAGAATACACCTTCCTTTTTTTATACAATGCAACACTTCTTTTCCAAGGATTTTTTTTTTTTCCACTGGTGCAATTTTCTTCTTGAAAGTTACATCTACCAAAGTAGTAATTTATGCAAAAGACTCCCTTTCAGATTTCATTCATTTAAATTGCTCTCCCCTGCTCGGTGCACACAAAGGAAATGAAGAAGCAGACTAACGTTTCTGCTAAGAAGTAAAATTAACCCCATAAGAAATCTTTCCAGCAGAGGAAAGAACATGGATTTCTTTGCCAAAATTTCCACCATACTGTGAGGTATAATGCGACATTAATGAGCAGAATATTCTGTGTTCATCCATCAACTGTAATGCAGCTCCACAGCACTTTCTTGGGAGATTTTTTTTCCTCTACAAACAAAATCCCAAAGATTACTGTTTAATTGACATAATGTATCTTTCTAATGACTGTGTCTTGGTACCTGTGGGGGTGAAGGAACTGCCAAGTTTTAAATGCCTTAGCCTGCCTGAAAACCAACTCAGTATCTTTCCAGAGGAAGTTCTTCTCCTGGAGTCATTACAGAGATTATAACTGGGACAAGATAAAGGAATTAAATTCAGGAGTCTGCCAGAAGACATCAGTAAATTGCAGGCAGGAGCAATAGAAGGGGGAAGATCTTGGTCTTATGCAACATGGAAATTCCATGGACTGCAGCTGCTTCCAAATGCAGGACTGAAGGGTCTCCTAATCTCTTTAGGTAAATGGTGCAGCATCAGGCCAGGGCTCTCAGAATAGGAATAGTATCAGAAATCGGTGTTTAAAACTCATGTTGCCTCTCTGTGTTTAGCAATCATCCCAACAATTTCACAGTTGATAAAGTTCTGCACTTGTTATATTCTCTGTACATTGATTATATACCAAGCTGAGGAAAAATCCTTCACTTATTAAACCTTCTGCACACCTATTTTCCAGAATCTGAAGGAACTGCATGTGGAGAATAATTGTCCACAGCACCTGCCCACAGCCATCAGCTCACTGATAACTGCAGATCCATTGTGCAAACAGGTTGAACAAGACACTTTTTTGTGTGTTTATGTTTGGTTTGTAGTTTTTCTTTTTCCAAAAGAACGTTGCTCTGGATCATCAGCAGGTCACACAGAATTAAAAAAAAATACAGGGCAATAAGGAAGGAAAGGTGATTCCTCAGTCTTTGATTCTTTTGAACCTAAATTATTCCTCTCTTTCTGTAAGTCTGTAATTTCTTCACGAGCTAGCTGTTTCTCCCAAACTGTTCTTCCAAACTAAAAAGTGACATTTAAAGATGTGTAGACATTGTCATTTACTTTTCTAATCAAAGGTACGGGGGACCAGTGTCCTCCCAGGTAAGAAATTCCTCTTGAAAACATAAAACAGAGAATAAAAGAAAAATCAGATGACTGACAGTTCATCATAGCTGCCAACAATGTATTCCAATCCAGAATAAAAGGGTTTTCTGAGGAACAAAATGCTTTTTGCATCGGGAATATCCACCAGTAGCACCATTCCACAAGGCTGTTTGCTTTTACCCTTTTCTTCCAGTTAACCAAATTGTTCTTCTTTTTTTTTTTTTTTTTTTTTTCAGATCCCAAGTTTGCGGTGTGGGTTGATGAACCAGAAGGGGATTGGAATTTTCTTGACACTTAATAATTTAATCAAAAAAAAAAAACAAAAAAAGAGAAATAAGGAAAAGAAACAAAGGAAAATGAAAATGAAAATTAAAATATAAGCCTGTAAAGGGATCAAAAGCAAAGAAAACCTCTGAAATTTGGGCAGAAAACTGCACAGAACTCTTTTCTTTTACAAGGACAAATGTGAGCAGAGATAAGCAAGCAGGAGACAAGCACTGTTCAAGCGTCTGAATCAGCGAGTGTGACAATGAAAACACAAGTTTTTAGGTTTGGTTTTGTGTTTTTGTCCACATTGACCCCAGGTGAATCAGGCAGATTCGGAAATGTTCTTGAGGTGTCTCATTCTGAATGCCTGTTATCTCTAAGCATAAAGGTAGCTGATTAGGTGGAAACTAATCTAATCTGGAAATCAATCTAACCTGCAGGAATCTGGTGCAATGAAGTGTTGTTTGTTCTGAATCCCAAAGTATTTTACTTGCAGTTCTTAGAAATCTGCTTGCCAGTCAGTGAGGTACAAACATATTTTGGTCCCCCACCTGCCAGCAGTTGTTTAACGAGTTTTGCCTCCAGAAATGATCAGTTCCTTGTTTGGAAATACAGAGTAGGATTCCAGGCAGTCAGAACAACTCACACACTTCTACCAGAACCTGCATTACCATCCTGCCTTACAGAGGTGTAAAAAGCTGTTTTGAAAGTATCTCCCCACTTTTGCAAAGCTGTTCACTGATGTTTTGACAGCCTGCAGTGACAGCACTTTGAATGACTGCAAGCTGTCACATCCTCGGTGGTGCAGCTCTTCCCCGAGATGGCTCGGTGACAGTTTGGGGAATGCCTGTGTGTGACAGATTTGGATGAAGGCAGTGAGTCTGCAGGATACAATATTCTGCCGTGATTTTGGTTCTGGCACATCATAACATCCTTGTTCTCCAAAAGAACCATGACAAACCCTCCTCACTGTAATTCTTGCATGCCAAATTCACATCTTCACAGAGAGCTGCTTGTCCCAGACATCTGATGCCCTTGTCTGAGTTGCCTCAGGGAAGGTTGTGCACCCTGAAGGAGGAGGTGAATCAGGCAGGTCACTGAGACCCAGCTCTTCCCAAAGTTGCATCTCCAGGGAGTGCTCTCTGAATCTGCAGCCAGGGTATGGAACTCATTTCTGTTTGGCTCTTGACGGACACTGAAAACTCATTAATATGCTTGTTGGCAGGAGAGAGCTGGGACTGCAGGAAAGTGGGACGGCTCTGTTCTCATTTTCCATTTCACTGGGTAACTGAGGCTGCTTTGATTGTTTGGAAGTGTCTTGTGAAATTTTTTCACCCTAAGTGAAGGCAAAGAGGAACAGAGAGAAGGATAATTCAGAGGAAATCACTGGAAGAGAGAGATTTCTGGGAAGACTGGCAGATAGACAGGACATTTAATAGAGGTGATAAAAGGAATAAAAGCTTTTTAGTGGCACAGTAGGTATGCCAGAATCATGAGAGGGCAAAGGACTGAGCAGGGGATCAGGAACAGCAAGGGGGGAGTTTGTTGCAGTGGGTCCATAATGCGCTCTGGAGCTGAGGACCCAGCTATGACAGAGCTGAAGTCCAGGAAATTTCAACAGAATCTGGACGTTAAAGACCAATTAGAGGGAGAGGCACAATGGGAAAGGAGTGATTAAGATACATCCTCACAGAACAGATAAAGGATCCATTTCCCAGCTGGACCAAAGGCATATTTGAGGAGGAAAGTCAGAGGAAAGCAAGTGAATAAGAGAAGAGGTTGGTGTGCTGCTGTTAAACAGCGATGATGGTACTTCCACATTACAACAACTGTGCTGGCTGAAGTCACTGCTTGAAAACCTCTCATCAGCCCTGGATGAAACAAGGGCTCTTTGGTTCATTTCAGAGGCTGAGGGTCTGTGTAGGAGATAACTGATCCCCACACTGCAGCAATTCCCTGCTGCCTCTGACCAACACCAGTTCAACTCACGTTTCTCAGAGCTGGGGGAGCCAAGTGCACTTTTCAATTGGAACTGGAACCAGGGGGATTTCCACATGAAGTCATGGATTAAATGATCAATAGGCATCAGCACAGCATTGTCAGCTGCTGGTGATAGCCCTGAGCAGCCAAAAGCTGATGTTGGAAGGATCACGTGGACTGAAAGGTGAATATTGATCAGCACCGGCAGGACAGGACCTGCTGAGAGGGGCCTTAGCAAGTTAGGAAAGCGCCACTGAGCGATCCTGTTGTGCTTCTCCTCTGAGAGATTGCTGCAGCATGGAGAGATACTCAGAGCTAATTGAGCAGAACTTTATCCCTCAAGCTGCCTCAGGATTTCTCTAAGACTCCTCACTCAGTGGGCAGATCTAATATCTTTACTTCCTAAAATACCTTACTGATGAATAATCCCGGTGCAGTCCCGGAGCTCACGTGTGGGTTAACACGCTCCCTGACACGACTGACTCTGCCACAACTGGGCTCTGTGTCAGACAGGGCGATAAAATGTAAAAAAAAAAAAGGTGGTGTGAAGGTTGATGGATGAATCCTGAATGCAGGAAGGAGGAAGACACTGCAGGGACTCCCACTGGCTTTCATATGCTCTAGATCAGACTCTTAGACATGGGATTTTGGGTTTGTGCTGCGTGTCATAAAAATGGTCTGTTCCAAAAGCTTAGTCTGGGTAAGCCTGAAACAGCTTAAGATGGGAAGGAGCATCCCTAAAGTATCCTGAAATTTTTACATAGTCTTGGCCAGAATGATTATGGATTGCTCTGTGTCCAAAATGCTGCTAAGGTAGCAGGACATATCTCTGATTTAGTGTACCGCAGCATTTCCCTTGCCCCTGAGACCTGCAAAGACCCTGCACAACTGATTCTTACCTTGATATTATGTTGATTCTGTACACAGGACTCATCTACACAATGAGATGGCATCAAGGGCCAGAGCAGAGGCAAAACAGCTCCTCCTGTGTTCTCCTTGCTGGACTAATATATAATGTTGAGTTGTTGGGATGGTTTCTAAATCTCCCAATTATGTAGATTTAACTTATTCACAAAGAGGCAAAAGCTTTGGGGGAGAAGAAACTTAAAATTTAAAACACAGAGGTTTCAAGTATTTTCACATTAAAGGCATTTTCTGAGGCCACATTCACACTGCCCACCCACCTGCATTAACACACATCCCCTCCACTGGCAAACCTGCAGTGTGTCCATCTGAGTCCAGCACTGCTCTTTGGGCACCGTGAAGATTAAGTGTCTGCAAGAGTGTAAGCGTGGCCCAGAGAATCTCAAAGAGTATCTTGTTAAATGGAATGATCTGTGATGCAGAGGGTTAAATAACAGTGTTCTATAACTGTGAAACTATTTCAAGAGATTATTAAAAGCTGTGTGATCTCCTAAGTGACAGACACATAATACTTGCTCCACGTGCTGGACCAGACACCTTCCACCTCCATCAGCAGTCAAAGCGAATGTTCCTTTTGTTGTCGTGATTAAAGTTTTCCAGTTGTTTCCTCTGGGGTTCTGACAGGCCCCATCTCTGCATGCCCAGCTCTGCCAGGGCAGGGAGCTGTGCCAGTGCTGCCAACAACTCACTGAACCAGGTCCCGCAGGCCCGGCAGGACGAGGGGCAGAGGCTGAGATCGAGCTCCGACAGCTCCTTGGATGCTGCTAAACCTCGGCAGAAAACAGCCCACCCTTCATCAGAGACGCTGTCATTGTAACTCAAATCCAGCACCTGCAGTCTGGAGAGGTGGCCATCCCGCGTCAGAGATGCTGCAAGAGAGGACAGACACAAACACGGTAATTCAAAAGGAACAGAACCCTTGAGTTAAAAGGGGAGGGCACCCTGAACACCCTGGAGTCAGCTGGAAGGTTGTACCAAGTGCCAATTAAAACAGGCAGACAGGTTTTACAGGGAGATTTAGGAAGAGCAAAGGAAAACTAGATGAGGTTGGATTGCTGCAATAGCAACCTCCCACTGCGGGAGGGCCTGATCTACCCTAAAGGGAAGTGGGGTCCTTCACGTGTGACTGGCAAAGGGGACACCCATCAAGGGTGAGGATTTTTAAAAGTCAAAAATATTCAGGCTTCACCTCACCAGATTTCACATTCCAGGGCCTTAACAGCTGTCACACAGCTACTGCCAACCTCAGACACTCAACCCCCTGAGTCAGGGCCACAGGAACACCAAGATGAGTGTAAAATGAGCGGGTTTTTAAAAGAATCCTACAATTCATTCCTTTATCGTGTTCCCATTTTCCTGTATTTCCCAGCAGCTGCTAAGAGGTGGGTGAAAATACTTCTGTTTTAATTCTCCCCTGGTAGTCTGAGTCCAGAACACACCTCATGGATTGAGAGCTGGTGGTGCCTGTGTTACTGGCTGTCAGCACATACATTTTCTATAAATTAGTGAACCCTAAACCAGAAATTGAGCAAAATAAAACTCCTCAGAGGCAGCCTTAGATATCTGATATAAAAAAAAAAAAAAAAGAGAGAGATTTAAACTCTACATTTCCAAAGTGTTTGGGGTTTTTTGTTATTATTAATAGATAAAAGTGCTTTGTATTTCATCCTTTTCAGGACCCTTGCTGGGAAAATACTGCTGCATTTTCCCTCTTTTCCTTTGATTCACGCTCAGCCCAAGGAACAAGTCCCTCCTGAATTGTGGCCCAAACGCCTGGACCGCTGGTAAATACCACGTTATACGTACTTAGAAGTGCCAAATCTTCAGCCACCAAGTTACAGCTGCTCAGTCTTAACACTTGGATCTCCACTGCAAGCTTTAGTGCTCCCAAAAGCAGCTTTAGGTTGCCACCAACGCACTTATTCCAAGATAGGTCTAATATCTCCAGTTCAGGAAGGTGAAGGGCAGCCTCAGCTGAAAAGATTAAGACCAGCAACTTCTGCTTACTAAGAGAAAACAACATGGCCTCAACAGACACCTCACCTGCAATTCACCTGTAAATAGGATCCTGCCAGGCTGTGCTTAGGGTGACTTCTTTTATCCTCATAAAAGTCAGATAAAAGAAAATAAAAAAAGGCCTGCCCATAGATTCTACCAGGAATCTGTGGAGGGGTTTGTTGTGTTTCTACTCATGTTATTGGGTTGTCCTTGTCCCACTGAATTTATTTACTTAATAGCTTGCTTTTAAATCATTTTATATTAATTCAAAGACAATTTGGTTTGTTTTTTTTTTTCTGTGAACTCACTATTTAAGGTGAAATGCTCTGTATCTTGTGACAACACTGATTTCTGTGGTGTCACTCTTACATAATTGCAATGATATAAATACAGTCCTCCTCCTGCAGGGACCTCACACCAGTTTTGATTGCCTCTGCTTCTGCTGGAGGCAGGCAAGTCTTACTCTAGGTTTAATGTCAGTAGTAAACAGCACAAAACAGAAGTGCAGCAACTGAGAGATCCCTCTGTATTTCCATGTCATGTGCCATATGGAACAACTATCACAGGCACAGTGTACACTAATCCACTGAGATTTGCAATAAGTAGGCAAAAGAGGCTGAATTTACATATTCTATATTAGACTGGACTTTTCTTTGTGCCTGTGCAATATCTTTTCCACTCCTGCAGTGATTTCCTCCGTTGCCCCAGGCTTAACTCTACCCCAGAAAGTTTCTACTGAAGCTTTCACCTGCAGTGAGGGGAAAAACCCTCAGTCCAAACTTTGCCCCACCCAACTGCAAAGGAAGTGGTACATCCCAACTAGAATTACAGCATGACATAAAACCATGAGTTCCTTTATCCCCCCCCCAAATCAGGCAATATAGAAAAGCTCACTATCAGACTTCATGCAGTCAGATAGAATGGGGGAACTGGTTTGATCACAGGCATTTTTTTTTTTTTACAGTGTCACCATGATCCTTGGAGTTCAGCCAAAGGAGAATGAGGTGCTTTGTCCCCCAGGGATACCCAGACACACTTTAAAGAACATTCCTACCTAGTGATGAGAGCGACTCTTCACCTAAACCACAGTTGCTGATGGCCACAGATTTCAGCCTGGGCAGAAACCTGAGCCGGCCCAGGAGAGGATCAGATGAGACTCCTACACTTTTATTCCAGGATAAATTCAGCTCTTGAAGACTGGAGAGTAAAGGTATCACCTGGGCTATGAAAACATCAGGTATTTATTAGACAGTCACCTATTCACAATAAATGTGTAGTTGTATACCTGCCTGACATAATTTTTATAAATCAATCCAAAAGCCAAGGCCAAGTTTTTACACTCAAATTCATGGTAATGTTTTAGTCCAAAATAGCCTTGTCATTTTCAGTAAGAATGTTCAAGGAATTAGGTATTCCACACTGTGGGGAAGGTTGTCAGAACGTGGCTTCCAGGAAATTTTCTAGGTGAAGAAACATTAATTAAACGTTAAATGAGATGGGGATTATTTCCAAATGTCTTCCTTGCTAACTGAAACTTCATTCTTAATGCTTTTATTCTCTATTCAATAAATTAAAAATAAATCACGACTGCTACTACTATTAATGAATATTTTCCAGTGCATAATAGGCAGCTTTTCAAATAATCTTCTTTATCGCGGAAAAGAAGATGTGGGCAATGTTTTACAAATTCATTGGGAACTGCCCTTTTCTTCCCAACAGTGTTTATAGTTGGATCAGTTCAACCTGGAGAAAACCAGAGCAGCAGCAATCTCCTAAAATCACTTTCTACTGGGTGTGCAGCTCACCAGGAGAGTTTTAAGCAGCTGCTTTTCCATGCACATACACACCTTGGGTCTGTCTAATTCACAGCAGTGGAGGAACTGTCCCTGGCTACTTCCACAATTACTGATTACCAAAAAAAAGCAGCGTTTAGGGGCAGTTCCCACAGTCCCATTGAGGGTCTGAATCATGGTGGATTCAGGTTCTTAATTCCACGTGGGATCAGACACTCTGAGATTTCCTTTGGTTCAGCAGAAATACCATTTCATACTGATCAAGAGAGCTATTCCCCTACCCTGCACTTCCAGAACTGCCTGCTGAAGGAAGTACTGAGATCAGCTATTCTGCCAGGCAGAATTCCTTCTGTCTTTAAGATATTTTCAGAAGGCGAAACCTGGATTCTTAATGAATTTCCTCAGCATGTCCTTACACAAAGCGGCCATGTCCTCTTCTGTGACGCAGCACTGGTGAAGATCAAGGACTTCCAGATTTTTCAGGCTGGCCAAATGAGCTGCTGAGTCTTTAAAGCCACCACCAATCTCTCTGTTACACGATATGTCCAATTTCCTCAGCTCTGCGAGGTGCTGGAAAGCAGTGTCTGCAATGGGAAAAGGGGCAGGCTGGTCACTGGCCCTACAGCAGCCCCACTCACATTTACTTCACGGGCATTCATTGACTTCACCATCAAAGCTTGCACAAGGGATGGCAGGCAAAGCTCTGGGACTGAGCTCCAGAGTGTGATAACAGCAGACACACACTCATGCAGCAAAGCTTCCCCACCATTCCTCTCTGAAGGAGCAGGTGAAGGTGAGGCCAGCTCATCCCCCAGATATCCAATCAATCCTCAGCCTTTTGCACAGACTGCTGATGGACCTGCTAATTCATGCCAGTTGTTTTGCCTTATCCAGGAGGCATCCGCTAGGGAGAGACACAGATAACAAGCCCATTTCATATGGCACTCTCTAAGTGATAATGGTGAATTTGGATTTCCCTGGGAGAGCAGGATTAGCCTGTTAAAAGTGAGCTGGCCTGTCTGTGTCCTTGGCTATTGTTCTGTCTGTGGAAAGAGGAAACATGTCCAGGGAGCCACTAATCAGCCCTGAGATGTGTCTGAGATAAACGGTGTGGAGGGTGACACTCCCCATTGACTTTCACAAGCTTGAGCTCAGGGCAGATAAATGTGAGTCCTGCTGAAAGCCTCTGTAGCCCTTTATCAATCCTCAAACAGCAAATAACGAGTGCCCATTAACGCTGCCAAACCATCAGCGAAATCCCACCTCATTGCCTCTCCTAAATGGCTTTCAGATGTCCAGTTTATTCAGAATGAAAGTCTTTCTGAACAGAAAGTCTAACCTAAGCCCTGGAGGCTGTCTTGCTTTAATCCACACATGTGCAAGTTTAACTCTTTCAAGCCCGGCACGTTTTTCAAATCCTGAGCCATAACCTTGACGCTGCAGCCGATGTGTTTGTTGATGGAGAGATCTAATACTTCGAGGTTTGGGATCACGTTTAGAAATTCAGCTGGAAAAAAAAAAGAAAACTAGAATTGGTAACTGTCTGGAGTACACACAGATGAACCCTAGAAAAATACAGCAGCATGGCAAACAGAAAGAGATGGGCTGGGTTTGCCTGTACATGTGGTTTAGGCTCACTCAGTTCCTGTTCTACCTCCAAAATACAGCAAAATAAAGACTGCATAGGAATCAAGAAAAATCAGTGAAAAAACCGTAGGAAAAAATAAAGGTGCAAAAATACATGGGGAGTTAGGAAAATACAGGGGAATAAAAGCAGGAATACAAAGAGAAAATACACAGGATTGTATGTTACATGTGGGCCTCCTGCGGTGGAGATGAGAGCACAAAGGCTTCTCTTTACAGAGAAAACACCTCTGAAAACACACACCCAGATAAAAAGACCACACAGGATTAAACTGTGGTGAGAGACAGATGGGAGGAGTGGTCAGTGGTTGCCAGCTCAGCCTAAATTCCCGACTCTCAGGCTTTCTTTCCCATCCCATGGATAGCTACATATTCAGCTGCTTAATTTTAAGCCATCAGTGCTGGAAATTCTGGCACACTTCTTTTGCTCAAGGTCTCAAAGGATCCAGCACCCCGGAGGCTGCCAGACTGTGGTTTAGATCTGAGTGTTCTCCTCAACATTCCCTCACATGATTGGAGAAAACAGCTTTCTTCTTTGGAGGAAAGTGCATTAAATCCCCACATAGTGTTGTAAATACTGTTACAACGCAGAGCTTGAAATAAATTAACTCTCCACCAACACATACCAAGGGATTCCCCATCCTTTGCTGTCAGGTTACAGTCCGTAATTTTCAGGCATTTTAACTTGCATCCACTCTGGACTTTTTTTGTCAGCAGTGATAGTTTTCCACCTATGTTACCGTTCCATGACAAATCCAGTTCTTCAAGCTGAGAAACAATTTCAGATGCCTCTCCTGTAACAGAAATACGGGATGATTCATTCTAGGTATCAATTTCACTACCAACAAAAATACAGGTTTGAAATATATTAAAGAGGAAGGTTAGCCACTTAATTCTCAAATTACTTTATTTTAAATGTCTTGCCAGGAAAATTGTAGAACGAATTGTTGCTCCTGCAGCAAAGTTGTATAAAATCTCAAGTTGTCTAAGGAACAATGCAGATCACAAGTCATTGTTACAGCACACACAAGACCTGACATTCATTCACATTCCCAAACTCTCATCAGGCTGTTTGGACATCACTGTAGACCCAAAAAGTCCAGTCTGGAGGGAAATCAGTGTAAGTGAGGAGTCTGAATTTAGTGTCCTGCACAGTTCTGCCCTGTTTTGTTTGGCAAACTTCCAACCTGTGCTGTGTCCACAGGTCATTGTGGAGGGGAGCAAAGAATTCCTCTCACTACTATTTCTTCAGTGTGAAAGTTTCGTGTCTGAGGGGAGTTTCTGACTCACTTCATAAGGAAGCAAGATGATCACTGCTGTGACTTGAATTAATTTTCCCATGATTTCAAGGCACTGACTTTGATTACATTCAGAAAAATCAGCTTTTTCCAGGCTTGAAGCATCTGCCCAGTGTGATCTGTGTTAGTGCTTCTTTGAAACACTCACATCCCACTGTAAAATCCAGCTTCCCAACTTCCTTTGCAGAGGAGGGAGGCAGATGCATTTTTGCATAAACTCATTCCCAAGAAAGATCAATCAATCAGACCATATGCAAATGCAATTTCAAAGTGTCCCACAAAAATCTGGGATCTAAAGTCTTGTCATCAAGCTAATAATTGAGAACTGTATTTTAATAGTAACACCCCTTCATGTCTGTGTGTTTTCAGTATTAATTCTTCACAAAAGATTATAACAGAAAAATAATTATATCAGTAAGTGAATATCTAGGTTTGAGAGAAAAGGATATGTCTTATTTTTTATTTTTGCATTTATTTTAAATTATTGCCTCAGTCTTGAACACTGAACCAACTCTACAGTTGAGAAGTGCAGCGTAGCCTGTTTCTGCTTGACAGAAGGAGAAGCATTCCAGACAGAATTTCCACCCAGAAGATAAATAAAGGGCTGTAACTGCAGGAATGGTTCCCTGTCACCTCACACAGTCCCAGCTCTGAGCAGTCTCATAGCAGAGGTTATTCTGGTTACATTGGAGACACCGATTTCTAACCAGAATGCACCGAATATGCAAGAGGTCACATTTCCTCAGATAGATGTGGACAAGGTCAAACAGTCAATATTGGCCTAAATACACAAGTTATTTTCAAAATCACAGGCAAAATCAATGCAAACTGACTGCTGTTATTCCTCATGTCAAGGGCATCACATTTGGATCGGAAATTCAAGTCCTGTGATCAGTTTTGTGTTTGTGTCTGCAGAGGATAAACAGATCTGGGAAGGAAAGAGCACAGAAGAACCCCACAGAATAAATCAATTGGAAATATAGCAAATAAAACTCAAAAGATAAAAAAAAATGTATGAGAAAAAGGTTTGAAAAAGAATGAACTCAATTTGGAAAAAATAATAGGAAATAAAACACAGATTTCACCCTCATCTGAAGTAGATCAATTATTTTCAGCAGGTTTTAGAGGAATGCATTTCTCCTCCCCAGCAGATAACATGGCCTGCTTTTGAGCTGCCAACATATATGTAATTTTATTTCTGAACCTTTCCTGGAAAAGGCTTGGATGTGAATGACATAAACAAACACCAGCTTTTTAACTCAGACCAGTTTTAGAACTTGCAAAATAAGCAGTAACTTTTATAATTCCTGGTTGATTGAGTTTGTCCTTCTTTTAGATACAAACCACAGATCCACCCCAGAGTAAAGTCCAGGCCCAGAGTGACTCAGTGTCAGAACTGAGTGTGGAACACCACCTTTACACCCTTTAAACCTCATGCCTGGCAGAAAGCAGGGTGCAGGCACTCCAAGGAAAGAAGCAGAGGGATGGGCTTCTCCCAGGCTTGCAAAAAACCCAAGTCATGAAGTTCTGAGGCACCACTTCTGGTTTTTCTCCTCTGAAAGACCACAGGGGTTTTCGTGATGAGCACTCATCTGTCCTGCAGCTTGAAGAGCTGAGCTGCCCCTACTCTGACTGACTCTGCTTCAGTTCTTCAGTCTACAATTAGATACCACAGCTAGCCAAAAAAATACTGATCTAAACTGGAAACAGCACTGATTTCTGCTCCCTTCTGAGTGGGAAAGCTCCACAGCCTGAGGAATGAACTAGGCACAGGTACCTGAAGGTGTAAGGTCACCCCTAAGCCCAAGTTTCTGCTGTTTCACAGCAGGAGTTGACACAGCCCAGGGTGGAAGCAGCAGGAGTGGGATGTAGGAAGAGATGAGATGGATTACAGCAGCCCCAAGCTGTCTGGGAGTAAATGTAAATGAAATCCTGTACCTAAGGAGATGACATCCTCAGCTGTCAGCCTGCAGTTGTTAAGCCGAAGGACTTTTAACAGGTTCACGTGATGAAGGTGCACAGTGAGAGCTTTCAGAGTCCCACCAACACAACCATTCCAGGACAGGCTGATCTCTTCCAGCTCTGGGAGAAATGGCAGTAAAGAAGCTGCAAGGAAAGCAAAGGAAAGGCAAGGCATATTTAAATGTTTCTGCTCACTCTGGATGTCAATACATATTAATACTGAGATGTTTTCTGTACCAATAAAGCATTATAAAGCCATGACAATTTGTACCTCAGTTTTCTTATCTGTAGTTTGAGCGTAAGGACATTCATCTGCTTCACAGACCTGTATAAGTTTTATATTTGTATATATTACCTAAATTATATAGTTTATTAATAATTATTTCTCTGGGACCACCAGATGAAATGTTAAATAAAGCCAGGCCTGTATAAAAGAAAGGGAAAGAAGAAGTGAATAACTGAACAGGCAAATAAGAATTAAAAAAGGGTATGAAGTGATTAGTTGAATAAAATGTTTATTTACCCAGCTCTGTTACATCTTCTGCACTCAATGCACAGTTATTTAGATCAAGATTCTTGCTGTTGGGTTTCTTCCCCAGTTTCTGCATGAACTGCTTAAATCTCTGCTCACCAGATGGGGACTCCGCTTCAGAAACGAGATGTGAGTGTCCATCTGAGCAACAAAGAAATAGGGCCCTGCTTACCTCTGGGACTCACAAAAGGTGTAAAACCTGCCTGAGGCTGCCATGGCAAGGCTTTTCCTTTCCCTCCCCAGTGCCAAGTGGAAGGAAACATCTGCTCTTCTTGTCTTCAGATTGCTTTAACAGCAGGATGGACAGAGACCCATCCTAAACACAACAAGCCAAGGTACTGCTCAAAGCTTGGCTTGGAAACCAAATGAGCTCTGCAAGTAATGAGTGACATCAGCACTGACCTCTCACGTGGGAGACCATGAGAGAGGTCACCCAAAAGCTCTACCCCTCCTCAGCAACATGGATCTTACTCCTTGCTTGGCACCTATCAAATTAGGGGGGACATCCTTGATAATGTCCCACTCAGAAGTAAATCTTGGTTAAAAGATAAGCTGTAAGGAGCAAATACAGGATTTTGGCTAGCAAAAAAAAAAAGCAACTGATTTTTTATGAAATTAAAATATATACATATGCACATATATTTCATTATTGTCCCAGCGTTACCTTCTACAGAGAGATCTTCCTTCTCACTCTGATCATCAGCTCCAGAGTTGTTGATTTCTTCAATTTCCCTTCTGTCCTTGCCTTCAGATTTCCCAAAGTCAAAGCCCCTGAAGAATTTTTTGATGGCTGAAGGCTGCTCTTTCCCTTTCTCAGGAGCACAACTCTTTCCTTGGAACTGTTTTATAACAAAGTCAAACGGGGAACTCTTTGGGGTGTCCTCTTCCTGCTTATCCTGGCCGTTCAGCATGTCAGCTTCCAGGGGATCAGCAGACACAGAATTAGCTTTTGTAGCGTTCACTCTTGCTTACCTTCTTTCCTAATGGCCCTGAGAATTCACCACTGTGTCCTTTATGCTAATAACAGACAGCACTGTTTAGTTGACCAGGCTGAACACCCCAGCAACCTCAGAGCAAAGCTGAAGCAACAGTGCCAAAATCAACCAGATATTATGTCTGTGGACACTGGGAATGTGTCACTGCTGGAAGAAAATAAACTCCCAGGGAGCTTGTTTGGAACAGTTCAGTGACCTCAGTTTTGGTCACTACTTCACAGGCACAGTAAAGTTTGACTCTGTAATTAATACAGCTTTCCTTATTTCTTTTTTTTTTTTTTTTGCTACACAAGCTGTAGCATCAGCCAGTGATTCTGAAGCTGCTCTGTTTCTCTCTAAACATTAATTGGATGGTCTTTCGGAATTCTAGTATTTGCTCCCCCACCCCCCCAACATGCTTTTAACACACACACAACATGCTTTTAACGAGTGCCATCGGCTGTAGGAGAACAAACACCGCTCAGCTCCCGACCCTGTAACACAGCCCAGCTCGTGAATGGATTCCTGAGCTCACAGAGACTCCGCCTTCCCCAGCACAGACCCGCGCTCGGAACTCGCTCCACAATTTGCGGTCATTCACAGAGTGCGCGAACTCGGTCATTCCAGTAACCATCAGTTACAGGGGATGTCACCGCCACCCCTTCCCAAAAAGAGAAACACATGAAGAAGTATCAGAAACCCCGTGATTTGCACAGATGGTTTCCATGCTATCACAGCAAGGGGAGGGGGGGAATTCAAAATTAAAGCAAGTGGAATTTTTATATACATGTACTTTGTGTATACTTAAAAATGTGATTATATATGTATATATACTGATGTGCATATATGTTATGTACATGTTCTCATTGCGTTGGAAGTTTTCTGCCATGATACAAGTTTTTAAGGGCAGAGCACTTACAGAAAGCTGATGCACTGTTTAAAGTCTGGCTCTTAATATGTTGTCACAGCTGTATTTCTGGTAAACCCAGAGCTGATACAAACCAATGTGCCGAGATGTACGTGCACAGTTCCTGAGCTGCAGAGCAATCCTGCTGACCCTGGCTGTGATTTCACGCTGTAGAGTGGTATTATTTCAGACAAAGAGCATACCTGTCTTTTCCATCGGTTCTCTTGAGGATCCCTTCCACGTTTCACAGCACTTTCAGGGTTTGCAGGAGAGGTGAGCCATGACGCACACAAAACCTCTCTCCTCTCCTTAAGAGGAACTTTCCATGTAGTTTTCTCTCCCGAGTTCCTGCCTTCATCAGTTTGACAGCAGCAGCTCTGCACAAGCCGTGTGAGTGCACTCCCCCAATGCCTCTGTTCCTCTGCACCGTGTCCCAAAATCAGCCTGCTGGCCCTGGCCTCTGTTTCCTGGGGAGAGTTGAGAAGTCCATGTAAATGCTCTGATCATGTCCCAGCTGCGATCGCTCCCAAGGCAGAAATCAGGAAGTGGCAGCGCAGCCCTCGATGCTGCACCCAAACCGCTGCACCTCCCTGAGACAGCTGTTGTTGGGAGGGGCTGAGTCACCCTGTAGATCAGGTTACAAGAATACCTGGAGAAAAGCTCTTTGTTTTCCCACCCCTTTTGTCCATAGTGGTCAGAAATAGTGCTGGAGGCTGAGCAGAGCCCTGCTGTCAGCAGGATGTTGCACAGTCCAGTAAGGAAAGGGATCCAGAGGACCAGGGCACTCCTGTTCATTTTGGGGCAACTGGAGACACGAGAGGAGGGGTCACACTGCAACATCCACTGCAACCTGTTTGTGGGCAGCATCAGGATACAACATTACAAACCAATCACTGGACACACCCTATATGGACACATACCTCAAAATTCATTATATCTTTTTTTTGTCTGTCTGTCTGCCCTGAAGTCTGATTGCCACGATGGAGAATCCTACAATTCCTACCTTAACCATAAAATGGCCATTTATGCTGAATCTCTTTAGCCTTGCTAATCCTTTTCAATCTACGAGGTCTTCCCTTCTGTGGGCTAAACCAGCCCAACTCTTCTTGTCTCCCCTCGTATGGCAAACTCTCAACTTCCCTTATCATTTCCTGCTCACCTTTGTCTGCACCTGTTGCAATATAATTTATACTTCCTTAAGCACAAGGGGCCATCCATGGATATGTGCACACTAAAGACATATGGGAACTGGAGTGATTTTGGTGGGGAATGATAAAGCTGGTAAACAACACTAATGACTGCACTGCAAGCAGCTGAGCAGACACCAGCCCTGAGGACAGGCCTGACTCAGTGTGTCAATGCAAAAATGATTCTCCTGGGGTGGAATAGGGCACAAGGACCCAAAGGATAAGATTAAGAATAGAAAAACTTAAAGAGTGAACATCATGCCCATGAGAAGTGTCACACTGGGAAACATTTACAGCAGGGAGAACTGCACAAACCTACTGCAATCAACCATCTTTCCCTGCAGGACTGTCCTGTCCCAGTTTCTGAAACTAAAATCTCACTCCAGACCTGTATCCCCCCTGGGAAGGATCACTCCCTGTGTGCTCTTTCACTTCACAAGTTCAGGCATCTCAGCTCTGCAGGCTATGGAAAATCCCAATCACTTGTGTCAGTAAAGAACTTGGTGGATTTGGCAGCTCTTTACTTGTGCTTAACAACAGAGTGACCAGGGATGAAGCAGGGAAAAGCAACCTGTATTTCTGAACACGTGCCAGGCTCTCCTGGCCCAAGGCACTCAGTGCCCACTGCAGTTCAGTGAGAATGTGGAGTGGGAATGTTTGATAACCTCTGTCCCCTGAAACTGGGGAAATCCTTAAGCAGGTTAAGCACCAATTACAGTGGTTGGGCTGGGCTAACTAGCCCAGTCTGACATCAGCGTTTCAGGTGATGTGCTGCCCATGCAGAAAGTCTTTCGTCACTGGAGGCTGTTGAGTGACAGTGACACCACCTCACAGACCACCTGTAATTCACTGAGAAGGGAAATGCAGTTCCACAGTGTCTCCTCTTCGTAGAAAGCAAATCTTTACCTTTTTTACATCAGCTGTGAGGGAAGGGGGGACAACAGGGTTACCCCAGAACAAAGCAGTTAATGAGAGGGAGGAGGCTGCACTGGGCTGCAAACCTGAGCAGAGCTTTGCCACAGGCTGTGCTGGGGACACACCATACATCAGGACAGCCAGGCGCTGCTCTCTGCTGTGTCTGTCCCCTCCCTGACACACTCCTGAGCAGGTGTCCTGCCCCTGCCTCCCCAGACCTGTGTCTGCTTCCTGCAGCACTCCCGGGGCAGGCTGAGCCTCTGGAGTTTAAAAGGAATGAACGCCCTCCCCTCTCTATCCAGTTAACCGGGCTGGGACCATCTGCCCATGTGTCACACTTGTTTATATCCACTCTTGCCCTCTGTCCGGGCCTGGGGCAAGGTTAGGAACACAACCAATTTTGGAACAAAACAGTTAAAGTTGCATCCCACACAGCATCCATCAGTGAGAGATTAATGTGGATTTTTGTACTTTGCCTCATTGTGACTCCTTAATCCGGCATATATTCCAAAGAAATAATGCCATTAGAGGATTAGTGCCACAAGTTCATTTGAAAAAAAGGATTTGCAAACACCGAAATCCTATATTCTATGTACTTAATCACCAAGTATCATTTTGGGGATTTCCTCTCCCTTTAGTAGTGTCTCTTTCAATGAAACCCAAGCAAAGTAACAACTCTGTTTGGGATGACCCTTATTATCCATTAAGGAAAACAAAACCCCAAGCATCTGGTATAAATAATGCAGAATCCAAACACACTGGACTGAACACGTCCTTGCTGCCTTGCAAATGCTGCAGTTCTACCAGAGAGGCACTTGGCCCAATATTTATATAGAAATTAATGATTTGAGTATTTATCTGCTAGGGATTTTTGATATTTAGAGTCCTGTGGCACAGAGTAACAGCGTGACCTTTGTTTGCTTCCATGGCAATTCCCAAGGAAGAATGGACACAGCTGCACTCACTGGGAAGTGCTCTGCAGAACCAGGGTTAGGAAACACAGCTCAGGCTTCCAGGTACAGATCAGCAGCGTGCTGCCCTCTGGATAAACACTTTTTTTCCCATTTACACTCTCAGAGATATTGTACAACATTGACACTTCCCTGGAGCAAACTCATTCCAGACTTCCCAGATCAGTGGGCACGCCTGGGGATTCAGTTTGATCCAAAGTGTTTGAGTATCCTCATCTTTTCCCTCAAAATAAATATTCAACCCTCTGATTTTAATGGCCCAGCAGCCTCAGTAGTTCCTGAGGCAGCCATTTAAAATACATTTCACTGTGTGAAATGAAATGAAAACTAAATCCAACCACTTTATTCCATATTTATGGACAACCATAGAGTGCTCACAGGAGGGGTTTGAGAAGGCACTGGGAAAATACAAAGCCAGCTAAACCCTTGGGTTGGTAAATGTGTATTGAGTAACCTTAAACAGCCCCCTAAACTCTGTTAGACTTCGTGGGTGGAAAGGTTGAGGAAGATTTTGACATTTCACTGTACTTTAATACTTTAAAACATGACAAAAAGTGAAGTTATGACTCTCTGGTGCCAGCAAGCAAAAGTGAGCTCTGCCTGCCCTGAGGGGGCTGCACACTTGGCAGGACAAGGCCAGGTTCAAGGCCAGGTTGGACAGGGCTTGGAGCAGCCTGGTCTCGTGGAAGGTGTCCCTGCCGTGGGGATGGCAATGAGGATGGAATGAGATGGTCTTTAGGGTCCTTTCCAAGCCCAGCCACTCTGGGATCCCAGGAGAGTGACCTGTGCTGGATGGACTCTAAATTTAGAATTCTAAAACATATTCCTTTTTTTCAAAGCCAGAATTTACCCTATGAGCTATTAAATATTAGCAATGGTAATTAGATTTTTTTCCAACTACTCATCCATACTGAATATGCATTTTGAATTCCATAAAAGTAAAGACTAAAAGATCTATGGCAGCAAATGTGTATTTATATCCTCAATGCAGAGATTTTTAACGCCGATATCAAGTAACTCCTTTTGAAATGGAGCTACACAAGCAGGAACTCAATGTTTCATTCTCTCTCACAATACACAAGACTAACGGAGAAGATTTTCAGTCTGGAAAATTAATCCACCTTGCAGTTAATCATTTACATGAATGGACAATCTGCGGAGTTCACGCAAGGCCTGCAAACTATATTAATTACTAGAAACCTAATTACAAACCAGCAGAGTCACAGGATCAGTGGTGCTTCCATACGGTACCATCTGGTAGGATGGGGCTGGAGAGTTCAGCACAACTGCCCGCTGCATTGTGTGCAACTTCAGCCTCGGGGTGTGCTGGCAGAGAGCAAGTTCATGCACCTCCAGGAGCTGGTTGTAAAGCATTTTTAGGGTAATCCTAAATGACAGCACCTGATCCCTGCATTCTGGCTGTTATTTCAAAAGTTAGATCAAAATAAACCCGAAATCCATGCATAGAGTAATGAAAAAAAAAAAAAATGGCTAAACAGGTAAATAGGAAAATGTCTGTCATGAAATGGTTTAATTAGAGGCATAAAGTGTGTGTATTGTTATGGTTTGCTTTGTTAATTTTTACTCCAATATAAAAAGGCATGTACAAAGTGAAATTCCATACATGGCATGAATATGACAGTGCAGCCTCCATTATGTCTGATGTGCATTCATGGAAATGGTAACTTAATTTTTGCTCTTTCAACATGTGGCAAGTTTAAAAGTTTTGACCAAAACATGTTAGTCTTGTTTTATACCATGTTAACAAAAAAAAAAAAAAAACCAAAAAAACCCAGGGCTTTGAAACCTCAAGTTGTATGGTTTCCAAGGGTTTTGATTCATGGACACGTAAAATCCAGTCTTCTTTCCACATACAACATTTGGTCAATTTAATTTCCAAAGGATCTGGATGGTTTGCCCTATTTCATCACTGAGATTCACTCACTGGCTTTTGGAATTGAGATCAGCCACACTAAACAAAATTTAGTGGCTTTTTTTTGATCTAAAGTTTGGCTTCAGTTCTCTCTGATTAATTGCCAGATTTCCACTGGGAATGAGGCAGCTGTGTAATCCACCTGGTTTCTCCAAACCTCTGTTCTGTATCAGTCCAGTTGATTTCATTATACGGAAATTTGTCTTCACTGAAGTGCAGTTAAGTAGATTTTTATCTTGCTTCAGTAGGTTTGATAAGGAGAAGAAATAGGGATTATCAGTCTTTCAGAGATTCCTCACTTGTGACAGACAGTGTTTAGGAACAGTGGATTAAAACCTGCTTAGATTCCAGTGTAGCAGTTCTCTACTCGTACAAATCCATTCCAGCACTGCATTTTGACAACCAGCATAATTCTTGAACCAGTAATAAAATGATCTGATACAATTTTTGCCTTCCATCTTTAAAGACTGATACAATTCCATCAGCTGAGCCAGGTCCGTCACTGACTTTGTCAAAAGGGAACAAAGAAAAGTTCTGGCCCAAATCAGAGCTAATAAAATGTCAAGTGACAATTAATGGAGAGAGTCTCCTCGCTCTTAATTCAGCTTTGGAATAGAACCTAAACTGCCCACAACTCATGAGGTAAAACAGGAAAAAATAAACATGTATCTTTATTATACTCCTGGGTTTGTTTCTACCTCAGGAATTAATTTTTGCCAGTGTTAAAATTTTTGTGGTTTTTCTGAAATGTCATTCACACAGACTGAAACATCTGATGAAAAATGGATGCTGGTGCAAGACTTTGTTTTTAATTTATTTGAGTAAGATATTTATTATCTTACACAGCATTTTCTTCAACTTCACCCAGACAGTCTCAAAAAATTCCAGCAGAACAACTTATTTCAAGACTGTACCTGCTCATTACATATCAAGTCACAGGTTTCTGTAGGCAGTTTCAGACTGAGTGGAGTGGACTCAACACAAACTGAAAATTATCTTTAAGCCTTTTATTCCCAGGTTATTTTAGCTATTCTCTAGTTATTTTTTTAAAGGAAGTCCTAAAATAATATTTAAAACCTACTATTGTATTTTTTTTAAGCAATGTTTCTGATTTTCTTCTTTGCAAAGAATGTCCAGAGAGCAACAAAAGAGCCACAATGACATTTGCAGCAAAAATACTTAGAGAGCCACAGTCACTTAAAAAAAAAATCCCATCTTAGATACTGCATATGTATTTTGTGTTGTGTCATAAAAAATTGGTCTGTTTTCTGGGAGGATGTGCTGAACTGTAGCAGAATGACAGCCCTTTGCTAACAATAACACTTCCCTGAGAGTGATTTTCAGTGGCAACGAGCCCATTTTCTCCAGATTTAGGCACTGGTTTAGTGTTTGAGAGAAGGTGAGGGACAATTTTGAGTTGTTGCAGTGAGCACCTGCTGAACTCGAGGCAGGTGTCCAAGGATTAACAAACATCAGCACTGTTGTACCATCAGCTGACAGGGGTCTTGGGAGAAACTGAGCACT